TCATTTTATTTCACAGAAAAAGCTATTAAAATGAATGCAAAGTATCCTCCAATTTTAAAGGGTCGTGTTCACATCGGTTTTCCAAGCCAGAGACTAGCGTTTTATATGTGGTTGAGTAGTATTTACAGGTTGGTCAAGGCAGTAACACTATATAACAATAAATAGTACAAGACACAACAACTGTAAGTGCTGAGTAATATGGTAGGTCAGATTAATAAGCACCAGAGTGATAATAAATAAATTGGGACTTGAAAAAAGCCTTAAAGGACTTCAATGATGTGTTTAAAAAAAATGTAGCACTTCTCAAATGTGTTTTTCTTCTCACTTTAGTGGCTAAAAGTTCTACCACTTTGTTTATTTGTTGTACTTGGTAGTGACTGAGTAGTACTCATCCTTTGGCAGGAAAACAAGTTCTGTGAGTTCTCTATTTTGGTGTAATGCTCATAAATTCTAATTTTTATTGGGGGTGGTGTGCGTACAAAAAGTCACATTCACAGTGTTCTGGGAAGTATGTGGGAGGTAAACACCTAGAGGCTTCCAGCCATAGACTCATATGTCTGGATGCAAATTTTTATTCTACAACTAGGTACTAGAAAATAACATTGTAAAGTAAAATTAAAGATTGACCATTAATCAGGGTGTTTGTTTTTTTTTTTAAATAAGACTTTTCTCATTGCTTTCCTCTGCCTCAAGAAATTTTCTTTTTGGTCAGACTGATATAATTTTATTGATATAGTTCTCCAAATTTTAGTAACATCACTGTTAGAAAAACAATAGCTTTTATTTTCCCATGGTTTAGTTCCCAGGGTAGTCAGACATTGGAAGTTTCCCTTAGTGTTTCCTTCTGTAGCTATCATATTTATATGTTCCTTTTTCACATTGTAAAGTCTGATGGCATTCCTGTCATGCCCATGGTATTAGGGTCATATATTTCCAAGAAGTCCATATTTGTTGAAAACATGCAGGAGGTTGTTACTCATAGTACGTAATAGGATAATTACCAAAGTCAATTTCTTTCTAGTCAGCATAAATGACTCTCACCCATTTACATCCATAAACAGAAGCTCAGAGGTAGTTCCAGCATGTGCAGCCATGTATGCTTGCAACTTAAGTGAGACCACAAAGCAATGTTTTTCAAGAAGCAAACAGCTTTAGTTCAGTTTATGGAAAATTGGACAGCTGTTCTGAAAAATGTACTTAAAGATCAAAAGAGAAGCATTTGCTTGTGATTAGTTTGATTTATAGTGGGTTTGACCCAGGAGCTTCCCACAACTGCTTTTCTTTCTGCACATTGTACATTTATGTAATACACACACCCTTATTGTTTTCATAGATGTGTAAGATTTACTAATGACAGAAACTTAATTACTGCTTCAAACAAATGCAGGCTATTTAGACTTGCAAAAACAAATGAAAAAATGAGCTATGCAAATAATGAGTGACCTTATAGTTTTTCTTCAGCTGCTCACAATTTATAATGCTATATATACCCAATTGAGGTGGGAAATTTATGTCTCTAATGAGTGCATGGCTTGAGGAAGTGATTCTGGCGATACGTGAAGCTCATAGGTGTATTCAGTGACAGGCCATCTTTAACAATCCTTAAATTTGTTTCTAGGCCTTGAGCCTCTCCCACTATATATGCAGCATTAGTTCAGGCTTTGGTGATCTTTAGTTTAAATCATGAGTAGAAGAAAGCCTAAGTATAGAATAATAAACATAGAGATTAAAAAAAGAAGTTAATGGAAAAAACTCAAGACAATATTACCAAGCTCAAAAAAGTGTAGGCAAAATTGAATTTGACAGATTAAATGGTAATGAAAGGTTAGGCAGATGATGACTGGTATTGCCATTTCTGATAATTTATTCAGAAAGGGTTGAGATTAAATATAATTCAGCTCTTCCCAATACTTGTTTGATGACATTACCAAGGGGAACTGTGATATCACTTTAGAGGTCCTAAGAAAAATAGCACTACTATCCAAAAAAATGGCATTACTTTGTTCTATTGGAAATACGGTTTGATTTTTGACCTTATTTAAATCAGTTCAGCCTAAAGATTAATTGAAGATTATCATTTTCAGATTAGAATCTATTTTTCTCTCTTTGGTGAATTAAGTGTACTTCTAGAATTTAGTATATTAAACTGATGTACTGATTTACTAATTTCTCATTTATCATTGTCTAATCAGATATTTTTCTAATGTTTACAATAATCAAAACTCTTGGAGAAGAGCAAATTATAAAATATGATCCCTGATCTTTTATGGTACTTGTTTTGAGGTCGGAATCCAGTTGGTGACAAACTGAAGATGGCTTGTATTTTGGGCTTTGGCTTTTTACATTGTAGGAAGCAGAAGATATTTGAAGTTTTTTTATCCTCATTTCATAAATGGTTGATATGATTGGAGTCTCAGTGTGTCAGCAGTAGGGCCACCATTAGGGAAATGTAAAGCTAGAGGAGAGGGCGAGGAATATGGAGTGTCTTGCAGAAGGCAGTTGGTGAGAAAGATCAAGGTGACAGACAGATGGTCATATACAGACTAGCATGGGAGGGGAATGGAAGAATCGACAAACTTCAGTAATTTCACTAGATGTGGTACTTGGAAGAGGCAGAGTTCATGGGAGCTATAGGGTTTCTATGCTCTATAATCTGAAAATAAGGTGGCAGAGTAATTACAAGCAACCTTAAAAAGATAAGTAATTTTGAGAGGGTGGTTTTGAACTTCTTGAGGTCATAGGATCTCAGAATCTAGTTAGGCACCTGGAACAAAGGGGTAAGAAAAGTTTTATCTAGTTTTAACATTGGATTTGATTATTAATACATTGTTCATTACCTTTACAGTACTACAAAACTGGGAATATTTAAATTGTTTTTGTTGGGTACATGTAGAGAAATGTTCCATAGGTTTCATTGTTACTGTGTTAAGGCTACTTTGTGTTAGGAATAGTGAGGTAATTTAGCTGTGTTATATTTCTGTTTTTTGTTTTTATGCTTGCCTTTCTTGGCCAGAATAAAATCTAGAATAAATTATGTTTATACTTTATCAGGATTCAAATTTAATTCATTTCCTGATTTTAATAGGGAATAGATGTCCCTTTGTGTTGCCAAAAAAACAGTCTTTGAAATTTGACTCCTATTTTGAGATTAAAAGATGGTCCATACCTATTATTTAATATTTGCTCATGAGCTGCTTAGCTACAGGGATCTGTTCTAAGAAATGTGTTATTAGGCATTTTCATTGTTAGGTGAATATCATAGAGTGCACAGACCTATATCGTATAGCCTACTATGTACCTAGGCTCTGTGATATAGCCTATTGCTCCTAAGCTACAAGTCTGTATAGCATGTTGCTATACAAAACAACACAAGGTTAAATCGAGCACAAAAAAAAGAGACGCAGTCAAGAGACAGGTAAACAGGAGATGTACGAGGCTGTTGTCAGCCTAATATGGCATAATATTTTACAGCAACCTTTTTTAATATAAGTGTGAGGAGTAGATTCTAACAATAAAAAAGTGTAGTATAGTAAATATGTAAACCAGTAAAATAGTTGTTTATTTTCAAGTATTATGTACTGTACATAATTATATGTCCTGTACTTTTATAACACTGGCTACATAGTAGATTTGTTTTCAGCAGTCCCCACCAACACATGACCAATGTGTTGGGCTACACATTACTACAGCTATAGTGTCACTAGGCAATAGGAATTTTTTAGCTTCATTATAATCTTAAGGAACCACTGCTGTACATGTGGTTGTGGCTGACCAAAAAGTCATTATTCAGTGCATGATTGTAGTAAAACTGTACCACTTAATGTACTTGGTAATTGTAAAGACTTTTTTCTAAATCTCAAATATACATGCATACATTCCCCATATATTTTAATAAATGTATCTGCCATTACAGTATTTAAAAAATGTATGTAATAAAGTTCTACCTTAATTTTTTTCTTGATCTTGTGATCCTGAAATCTTACTTAATTTTCATTAAATTTTAGAACTACTTTGACAACCATACAACATATGTAAGTTGTGACTATATATACATATATAATGTAGATATGTTGATACGTTTTATATGAGTTAAATTTTGATCCATTTTGTTAGCAATTTTTATTTTTTTAGTGTTTACATTTCATTAATTTTTTTTAACCTTCAAATATCTTGGTAGCTGAAAGGAGTTGTTTGTTTCCATTAGTAAAAAGATGAAAAAAAAATCACTATATACTATGTATATGAAAGAGAATGTTTTGTTTGAAAGGTTTGAAATATTTTAAACACTTTGTGTGTGTTAGCTTTTCCATATCCTTGCTCAAAAAGATATTTTTTTCTATTTAGAAAAATTTGGTAACAGAAAATTTTACAGAGAAGGGAAGAAAGGTTGAAGATTAAAGATTGTGGTACACAAAAATGTCTGTCTCAGACACACTGATTCCTTCCCCGCCTCCAAAGTGCCTGGAGCAGAAAACACAGATAACAGATATTTGGGCCTGTGATCTAAAATAATTCAGCACCCAAACACTGGATATGAATTGAACTGAACAGGAAGCATTGTTCAGTAGAGCCTCTGTGTGTATTACTTTTTGCGTTCAAACAAAAAAAACAACTGTCTGAAGAGTTTTAAAATTACTTCTAAGAGAGTATTAAATACCCTATTCAGCGTACAATCTTTTTCTTTTGCTAGAATGTGGTTTCCTTGTCTATACCTCTTTTTCATTTGTAACAGTTGCACACTACTGTTACACAATAAAGAAATGGAGAAATTATCAGGGAGCCTTTCTTATAAAATTATTTTAGTTTTATAGAAATAATAAGGATTGAAAAAATAAACATGAATGTTATTTAAATTTTAACTTTACCTGTTAAACAAGATACTTTTTATTACTTTGCCTAATAGTTTGTACTTTTATTTTGATGTAAACAAAAGTGTAATTTCCATCTGTGTTTATTATTTATTTTTTAACAAGTGACATTCCTAATTAAATCTATTACAGCTAAAAGATGGTGGCAAAGCATCCCAGGCAAATGTGAGAATAGGCGATGTGCTTCTCAGCATTGACGGAATAAGTGCCCATGGAATGACTCATCTTGAAGCCCAGAACAAGATTAAAGGTTGTACAGGCTCCTTGAATATGACTCTGCAAAGGTAAATTGCTTTTTGTTTGGCTCTGAGAGAGAAAACAACACCAAGGAATGTGTTTTTGTGTCTCTGGTTCATAGCATTAACTAAAGCAGTTTTCACTACCCCTTTTTCAGATAAATAAAAAATATGGCTCTTAAATTGGGTAATCAAGCAGTGTAAGAATTGGTGAAAGCTTTGGATTATTTCTCCATTAAAAAGCATGTATTCACGTACTCATAAAAATTGTGTGTACAGCTCAGTCAGTTTAAGAATTCCTAAAATTTCTCAAGGGAGAGCTGGCTAAAAATTCTCATCATAGGGTCAATCCCTTTGTGTTACTATTCTGAGCATTTTATTAGAAGATATTCTTTTAGGGTATGACATGACTTTTCTTAGTATATCCTTTCTCTTTTTTTTCCTCTTTTTTTTTCTGGATAAAAAAATAATTTTTTAATATACGAAGTCCAGATTTTCTGAACTTTTTTTTTAAGTTACATGGGCTCAATTATGAAATAACTAATCATCCCCTTGATGATAGTATGGTCAGGTGTTTTGAATGTCCCAACACTTACCTACATGGAAATCACCTGGATTGCTTGTTAAACATACTGACAGGAATCAGAATATCTACGAGTAAAAACTAATAATTATATTTTAATATGTTTCCTGTTGTTACTACAAAGTATAAAGTTAGAACCACTGCATTATTTTGGTCTGAGGGGAGGAGAAAGAAGGAATGAAGAAAGGGTGATTGAGTGATATATCCAAACCTTTAGGTTTATAAGGAAGGGAGCTATTATTTACCAGGTGGTTATGGAAAGTTTTAAACAAGTCTCATTTTTAGCGATTACAAAAGCATTTCCACTCTATTCATTTGGAAAACACCTTCCCCCCAAAAAACATCTCATAGTCTTTAATAGATTATCTTGTGTATTATAAATATTTAAGAGAGGATAATATCTGCGGTACCTTCCAAATGTATTTAGCTATGGAAGCTTTTTTTTTTTTTTTTTTTTTGAGTTTCTCTCCTGGGACTATTAGAAGGATATGTGAGGTATGTCCAGAAAAAAGTTCAGCCATTGTTAAAATAATGAGAACGGTTTACGTGACATTGCTATAATCTGGCATCCAAGGAGAGTAGACTGGAATGCGCAGGCATGAGCAATGACAACTTCGCTGTACCAGTCAGTAGGGGTAGTAGATGCTGTTGAGTGAGCATCTGTACTGTGTGGCCATCGCATTCAAAATGACTGAGTAAAGCAGTGAATCTGCACCAAATTTTGCGTTAAGCTTGAACATTCCTCTGTGGAAACTATTCAGATGATTCAGCTATGGGCAGCTAGTGATTGGCAGCTTCCTCATGACAACATGCCCACTCATGCATCACGTCGTGCAGAGTTTTCTGGTGAAACATCAAATCACCCAGGTGACTTAGCCCCCTGTTTGCCCAGATTTGGCACCCTGCAACTTCTGGCTTTTCCCAGAACTAAAATCACCTTTGAAAGAGAAGAGATTTCAGACCATTGATGAGATTCAGGAAAATAGGACACAGCAGCTGATGGTAATTGGGAGAACTGTGTGAGGTCCCAAGGGGCCTACTTTGAAGGGCACTGAAGCATCATTGTTCTATGTACAATGTTTCTCATTAATAAATGTCTCTATTTTTTTATATTACATGGCTGGATACCTTCTGGGCATACCTCTGGGCATATATACAGGATAAATTATATGTACTTGCCTGGAGGAATATCGATTTGGTCTTAAAAATGAACAGTAAAATTTTTTATGAACTTAGACTCATAGATTTACTTTGATGTGTCATGATTTTCTATCCAGTTCCTCCTTTTTCCTTTTGGGAGAAATTCCTTTCAGTGGACTGTTGAGTCAAAGGTTCTGTGTATTTAAATTTTGATAACTATTAGCTGTACATTTTAATGCCTATAAAAATAATCAATGTGAAAAGTAACCTTGCTAAAAAGTTCTTTTTTGATAGTATCCTTTCTGCTCATGAATGAAAGTAAAGTACTTATTTTTATTTATGGGCATTTTTTACTAGGTATGCTTTTGAAATGGAACCAAGAAGTTAAGAAGCTTAACTTGTGTGAGATATCAACAGAACAAAATACATACAGATGATGGGCTGTTTTTCAAATTCTAAAGCTGAAAGTTTACTTAGGGTATAAGCTCTTTTCTTGGGCTGCATATCATTTCTTTCACACTAGCCTACTTATCACATTGTGCTCTCTGTGTTATGACCCAGGACGCAGGAGCTTACTTTCTATTGAAACCATTTCTGGATCTCATAAGAATATATGAAAACCAGAGGTTGCCCTGTTTGGATACATTTTCCATTTGAATAATCTGCTATTGCCTCTAATAAAGATTCTTTTAAACTATTTAAATACAAAAAACCAACTTGTTATAAACATTGGGAGATACTACTTACTCTTGTCTTCGTATATCTGAATATTGATATTCAGGGACCCAAAATAGGAGAGAGAATTTTAGAGTCCTATTGCTATTCATTGTAATTCTTCTCAAGTTTTTGAATGCCTGCAAAGTGATTTGCATGTAAGAAAATGTATGGTAGAATATTAACATTGCTACTGAAGTAATACTTTTTGCCTTTTAAGGAAAGAATAAAACTTTGCAGAGTTATCTTCATTTCTTCTCTTCTTAAAGAAGTTTCTCTTCTTTAAGAGAAGTAGGGCCATTCTCTTCTTAAAGTTCTCTTTCTTTCTCATATCAGTGCAAATAGTTTTTCTTCTACTTCCTTTTGAATTTGAACAACAGCATCCTTAATTGGCCTCTAGACCCCTTACCTTCTTTACCACACCTGTCATCAACCAAATTGCGCTTCATTCTCCTTCCAAACTAAGTTAGCCAGGGCAGTACTTTTTCAGTGTGATTCTTCATAAACATAGAGTTTTCTTCATTACTCTTCCTTTACAGACTTGACTTAGTCTGTTTTCCCTAGAAGCTGAACCTGAGGTAGGATTCATGTGCAAGAGATATGTTAAAGGGAGTGAGTGAAGCAGGTTTGGGAAGAAGAAACAGAGATGAGCAAGGATGTGGTTTCAGGGGATGTTTAGCCTCAGCTTGATCCAGGAGGGAACTTGAGAACAAAATTGTACCGTAGATCATAGGGTCTCTCCTGTGTTGAGGTAAGAGAACTGGGTTTTGCATTTTGCTCCCCTGCGTTCATTAGTGATTGGCCACCAGCTGTCCTGGAAGTTTGTGAGTATGTGTGTGTGCACACGCATGTGTGCGCGCATGCACATGCACTGGAGGACTTGGAGGTAGCTTCTGTTGCTTCCACAGAAAGTTGCTGGTGTGCACCATTAGCAGTAATGAAGGGAACACCTCGGTGATGAGTGTACGAAACCCGTAGAAGGGTTCTGAAGAACTCAGGCTGGGTAACAACAGTGGTTTCTATGAGATTCCATCTAGGCTTGAATCTTCTGCTCAGAGAATTAAGCTCTTTGTGACGTAGACCCACTCAGATTATCCTCCCCTGATCATCACTACTGAAAAGTGAATACCGTCCTTCCATTTAAGATACGTTTCTTACTGTTTATCACATGCCCTTATGTTCTCAGTTTATCTAGAATACTGCTTGCCTCCTCACTGCTAATACATGCCTCCACATACACAAACCCCATATTGAAGTCATCATCTACCCACAGCCTTTTCTTATGGTTGCACCTTACTCATTTTTTTCACCTCTGAACTCCTACGACAAGTTTGTACCATTTCATTCAGTATTTAAATATACACAAGAAATAACAAGGCAGATTCCATGAGTTATTAGTTAATAGTAATACCTAATACTGCCTATGGAATTAACAACTTACTTTATGTGTATTAGTTCTTTTTCTCCAGCTAGACTTCTTGAAAGCAAAGACCATGTTTTTTGCACTGTTTGTATTTGACATCTTGTATAGTTTTGTGGTTTTAGTGTCTAATAAACAGTTGATGGGTACGAGCATTATGTCCCAAAGTTGAAATCATTTATTTATTTCACAAATGTTTCTTGAGCTCTTGCCAAGTGGCAGCATTGTTACAGACGTTGGGGACATAGCAGTGAACAGAATAGATAAAAATCCTTCCTTCATAGTGCTGACTTTTTATTGAGCAGATGCAGACAAGAAGTAGAAACGTGTAGTTGTGGAGATAAGTGCTGTGGGGGGAAAGGTACATAAGGGAATGCAGGGATAGGGAATTGCAGTTGAAAATAGAGTGGTCAGGAAAGCCTTGGTGAGAAGGATGTTGGATGTCTGGGTCCTAAGTGTGCCAGGCGGAGGGAAGTGCCTGTGCAGAGGCCCTGCCAGGGAGGCCAGTGTGCCTGGAGCAGAGTGAGTGAAGGCAGACTGGTAAGCAGCGCGGTCAGAGGGGTAGCAGGAAATGATAGAGGGGGGACGGAACTTGTCTGTGGCTCACTGTAATGTTTGTAATTAAATTTCAGTTTTCCTGAACCTATAAAAAATTGTGAGGAAGACTTGGAGAATTACAGCTGCTTGGCCAGATCTGCATCAGGGTTTGAGAGAAGAATGACTTCATTATTGGAAAGAGGGACTCAGAGAAAGAGCAGACTAAGCCTCTCCCCAGTCTAGATAGTGGCAGCTCTGCCTTTTCCTGTCGGCACCCGGGCTGATTATCACTTCTGCAGAGTTTCTGCTCACCTCCACCCAAGAATCCTCAGGGGAAGAATATATGAGAGAAAACCCATATTTGTTTTATTGAAATGAACGTTATCAGCAATTTTGTTTCATGAATTTTTTTTACATTAAGTATTTTTATGTACCTGTCATTAAAAAAAAAAAAAAAGAGCTGATTACCAGAGGAAAATGGAGTGGGGGAAGGTAGAAGAGGATAAAGAGGGGATAAATGGTAGTGGAAGGAGACTTGGCTTAAGGTACGTGCAATACAATATACAGATGAGGTATTATTACAGTTGCCCACCTGAAATGAATGTATTTTTATTAATCAATGTCAACCCAATAAATTCAATAAAAATTTAAGAA